ACTAAATGGGAGAAATTATGGCGGCCACAGGGTCGAATTCGTGAAGATGGGGAGGTATTACCCCCCCCCCCCATTTTCCCCTCCTTAAACAGCTACTAGGCCGCTATTCTAACTTTGAATTGCTTTGACATGTTTAACGGTGCGTGCGCCTTGGTATGTATACGGAAGCTATCCAAATGATTCCGCGGCAAATAACGAGAAAATTCTCAAAGTTCATTGCAACGTCATAATCGGTCATCCGTGATTTCATTTTTGTCAATTTTAATATTGTAGACGATATTCTTTGAGTAATGCGTGGAAAGTTTGTGAATATATTTGTTCTACCTTAAGCCAAGAAAACAAATATGATCATCAAATAATAATCACCATGATCATAACACCATGTCAGCTTAAAATTCAAAATCTCAAAGTCAGTTAATCACATTCTCTCAAAGATTAATTGAGTAATGGGCAAATCATTTAGAGCTATGATTTTTTCTAATATTAAATCGACATAACAAATTGATTGATTATGATAGACCTAAAAAACTGAGTAACATTCAGTATCTTTTCAGGAACATTTTTGTTGCATATTTTTGAGCTCAAAATGTGATTTATATTGACCCATTTAATCATTTTTTTTAAAAAATTTTGCCCAAGACCTGATTTACAATAATGGTTTACTATGATTTCATTGCATATTTTCGAGCTCAAATCTGGTTTATATTGACAATATTCTTGAATTTTTACATATGTTTTCGCACAAAATCTGATTTACAATGATGATATTTTGTATTTTTGTTGCATATTTTTTGTGCCCAAAATCTTGTTTATATTGATGATTTTCATGATTTGTGTCGTTTGGTTTGAATTCAACTTTTGCATTGAGTTTTCAAATAGTATGCTTTTAAGAAGAGAAAAATCAATTTTTCTGACAATAGAATTAAATTTTTTGACAACATAATCAATTTTATTGCAATTTTATGGCAATAGCAATAGTTTTTGTTGCGGTTTTATGGCGAAAACAATAGATTTTATTTCAATTTTATGGCAAACACAAAAAATTTGATTGCAAATTTATGGCGAAAGCAATCGATTTTATTGCAATTTCATGGCAATTTCAGGGCAAAAAAAAGTTTTTATTGAGATTATGTGGAGATAAAAATAAATTTTAGTGGAATTACAAGGCAATATATTCTTGATGAAATTAATCTATTTTCTTTCTATTATAATAGAAAATGTTGTTTAAATTGGTAACACATAATCGATTATAATGGCAATATTTTCGGCGAAATTTTCTCAATATAATCTATTTTATCCGAGAAACTTCGGTGCGGGTCGTAATGTGGTGATTTTCTCGCGAGAGTGGTGCAATTTGTAAAATTGTTTAAACCAAATTGATTTTCTGAGCTTTCTCAAAACACTTTACTGACCTTTTCGTTATTATCAGAAAATTTTATGCGCCGCAGGAGAGTTTTTGAGAAAAACTAACCAAAAACGAAGTTTATAGGCTTTTTTTGAAAGTTTTGAACAAGGCCACATATCTATGTCGCACAGGAGCACTACTAAATGGGAGAAATTATGGCGGCCACAGGGTCGAATTCGTGAAGATGGGGAGGTATTACCCCCCCCCCATTTTCCCCTCCTTAAACAGCTACTAGGCCGCTATTCTAACTTTGAATTGCTTTGACATGTTTAACGGTGCGTGCGCCTTGGTATGTATACGGAAGCTATCCAAATGATTCCGCGGCAAATAACGAGAAAGTTCTCAAAGTTCATTGCAACGTCATAATCGGTCATCCGTGATTTCATTTTTGTCAATTTTAATATTGTAGACGATATTCTTTGAGTAATGCGTGGAAAGTTTGTGAATATATTTGTTCTACCTTTAGCCAAGAAAACAAATATGATCCTCAAATAATAATCACCATGATCATAACACCATGTCAGCTTAAAATTCAAAATCTCAAAGTCAGTTAATCACATTCTCTCAAAGATTAATTGAGTAATGGGCAAATCATTTAGAGCTATGATTTTTTCATATATTAAATCGACATAACAAATTGATTGATTATGATAGACCTAAAAAACACTGAGGAACATTCAGTATCTTTTCAGGAACATTTTTGTTGCATATTTTTGAGCTCAAAATGTGATTTATATTGACCCATTTAATCATTTTTTTAAAAAAATTTTGCCCAAGACCTGATTTACAATAATGGTTTACTATGATTTCATTGCATATTTTCGAGCTCAAATCTTGTTTATATTGACAATATTCTTGAATTTTTACATATGTTTTTGCACAAAATCTGATTTACAATGATAATATTTTGTATTTTTGTTGCATATTTTTTGTGCCGAAAATCTTGTTTATATTGATGATTTTCATGATTTGTGTCGTTTGGTTTGAATTCAACTTTTGCATTGAGTTTTCAAATAGCATGCTTTTAAGAAGAGAAAAATCAATTTTTCTGACAATAGAATTAAATTTTTTGACAACATAATCAATTTTATTGCAATTTTATGGCGATAGCAATAGTTTTTGTTGCGGTTTTATGGCGAAAACATTAGATTTTATTTCAATTTTATGGCAAACACAAAAGATTTGATTGCAAATTTATGGCGAAAGCAATCGATTTTATTGCAATTTCATGGCAATTTCAGGGAAAAAAAAAGATTTTATTGAGATTATGTGGAGATAAAAATAAATTTTAGTGGAATTACGAGGCAATATATTCTTGATGAAATTAATCTATTTTCTTTCTATTATAATAGAAAATGTTGCTTAAATTGGTTACACATAATCGATTATAATGGCAAAATTTTCGGCAAAATTTTCTCAATATAATCTGTTTTATCCGAGAAACTTCGGTGCGGGTCGTAATGTGGTGATTTATTTGCGAGAGTGGTGCAATTTGTAAAATTGTTTAAACCAAATTGATTTTCTGAGCTTTCTCAAAACACTTTACTGAATTTTTCGTTATTATCAGAAAATTTTATGCGCCGCAGGAGAGTTTTTGAGAAAAACTAACCAAAAAAGAAGTTTATAGGCTTTTTTTGAAAGTTTTGAACAAGGCCACATATCGATGTCGCACAGGAGCACTACTAAATGGGAGAAATTATGGCGGCCACAGGGTCGAATTCGTGAAGATGGGGAGGTATTACCCCCCCCCCCCATTTTCCCCTCCTTAAACAGCTACTAGGCCGCTATTCTAACTTTGAATTGCTTTGACATGTTTAACGGTGCGTGCGCCTTGGAATGTAGACGGAAGCTATCCAAATGATTCCGCGGCAAATAACGAGAAAGTTCTCAAAGTTCATTGCAACGTCATAATCGGTCATCCGTGATTTCATTTTTGTCAATTTTAATATTGTAGACGATATTCTTTGAGTAATGCGTGGAAAGTTTGTGAATATATTTGTTCTACCTTAAGCCAAGAAAACAAATATGATCATCAAATAATAATCACCATGATCATAACACCATGTCAGCTTAAAATTCAAAATCTCAAAGTCAGTTAATCACATTCTCTCAAAGATTAATTGAGTAATGGGCAAGTCATTTAGAGCTATGATTTTTTCATATATTAAATCGACATAACAAATTGATTGATTTTGATAGACCTAAAAAACTGAGGAACATTCAGTATCTTTTCAGGAACATTTTTGTTGCATATTTTTGAGCTCAAAATGTGATTTATATTGACCCATTTAATCATTTTTTTAAAAAATTTTTGCCCAAGACTTGATTTACAATAATGGTTTACTATGATTTCATTGCATATTTTCGAGCTCAAATCTGGTTTATATTGACAATATTCTTGAATTTTTACATATGTTTTTGCACAAAATCTGATTTACAATGATGATATTTTGTATTTTTGTTGCATATTTTTTGTGCCGAAAATCTTGTTTATATTGATGATTTTCATGATTTGTGTCGTTTGGTTTGAATTCAACTTTTGCATTGAGTTTTCAAATAGCATGCTTTTAAGAAGAGAAAAATCAATTTTTCTGACAATAGAATTAAATTTTTTGACAACATAGTCAATTTTATTGCAATTTTATGGCAATAGCAATAGTTTTTGTTGCGGTTTTATGGCGAAAACAATAGATTTTATTTCAATTTTATGGCAAACACAAAAAATTTGATTGCAAATTTATGGCGAAAGCAATCGAATTTATTGCAATTTCATGGCGATTTCAGGGCAAAAAAAAAGATTTTTTTGAGATTATGTGGAGATAAAAATAAATTTTAGTGGAATTACAAGGCAATATATTCTTGATGAAATTAATCTGTTTTCTTTCTATTATAATAGAAAATGTTGCTTAAAATGGTAACACATAATCGATTATAATGGCAATATTTTCGGCAAAATTTTCTCAATATAATCTATTTTATCCGAGAAACTTCGGTGCGGGTCGTAATGTGGTGATTTTCTCGCGAGAGTGGTGCAATTTGTAAAATTGTTTAAACCAAATTGATTTTCTGAGCTTTCTCAAAACACTTTACTGACCTTTTCGTTATTATCAGAAAATTTTATGCGCCGCAGGAGAGTTTTTGAGAAAAACTAACCAAAAACGAAGTTTATAGGCTTTTTTTGAAAGTTTTGAACAAGGCCACATATCTATGTCGCACAGGAGCACTACTAAATGGGAGAAATTATGACGGCCACAGGGTCGAATTCGTGAAGATGGGGAGGTATTACCCCCCCCCCATTTTCCTCTCCTTAAACAGCTACTAGGCCGCTATTCTAACTTTGAATTGCTTTGACATGTTTAACGGTGCGTGCGCCTTGGTATGTATACGGAAGCTATCCAAATGATTCCGCGGCAAATAACGAGAAAGTTCTCAAAGTTCATTGCAACGTCATAATCGGTCATCCGTGATTTCATTTTTGTCAATTTTAATATTGTAGACGATATTCTTTGAGTAATGCGTGGAAAGTTTGTGAATATATTTGTTCTACCTTAAGCCAAGAAAACAAATATGATCATCAAATAATAATCACCATGATCATAACACCATGTCAGCTTAAAATTCAAAATCTCAAAGTCAGTTAATCACATTCTCTCAAAGATTAATTGAGTAATGGGCAAATCATTTAGAGCTATGATTTTTTCATATATTAAATCGGCATAACAAATTGATTGATTATGATAGACCTAAAAAACTGAGGAAGATTCAGTATCTTTTCAAATTAGGAAATATAAAAAAATTTTGCTGCCTTTTTTCAGTAAAAAAAAATCTGTGATTATTGCGCAGAGCAAAAATGGATTATTATCAAACTACGAATCCGAGTTATGGAATGGCGGAGGCTTCGATGGCGAGTGAGGGAATTCTATTCGGGGAAATCCGAAGGCGGGACAAAGTTGTCGTCTTTTCCCTCACTGGCCTGACTCTTTTGATGCTGTCTGCTTGCTTCGTGTATGGAATGGTTCAACCGAAGAGACTTATCAACCTTTTCTTCACTTTGTGTATATGTATGATGAGCCGTGAAATCCTTTCGCCGAATAAAGTATCCTATTTTGGATTCCCTTTTGTGACCAAAGCCCTCAGGCAAAAATTCGATTCATTTTCGACCTGTTTTTTTTTCAAAAAGTCATTTTTGGCTCTAAAAATTTATCAAAATGGGGTTTTTTTAGTTTTTTCGGAAAGCTAAGAACTAAAAACCTATTCGGACGACCTAAAAACCGTTCACGTTGCTTGGGGGTGAGGTAACATTACCCAGCCCAGAAAAGTAGCCAAAAAAATGCATGTAGATCTTAACAAGCGGCACAACAGCAGTTCTCCGCGAAGAACTGAACAGCTCGAACATTGGTCCCTTTCCCTTGTGAATAAATCGTCTCAACTTAATAATTTAACTAGAAAAAAAAGTTTTGCGAAATTTTCGGTTTTTTGAAAACCCCGTGACTGAGTGTCCTCGAGTTATGTCAGCCAAACATAAGTTATTGGTCAACAAATCAAGAAAATCAAACGTGAATTTCAGTTAGTTTTGGTCAGTTTAAAGAGCTTCGACTGACTTGAAACTTTCGTGCAATTTGGTCCCTATGTTATGAGAACAGTTTGATATAAACTAATTTTGCGTCAGTGTATTGAAATTTTCGGAGAACAGAATTTCACGGTTGATGTTTGTTTTATGCACCTTCTGTATCTCTGAGTTGGTCATCATCTTCTGGTACCGGAGGGGGGAGTTGGACCCCAAGTTCAGATACCTCATATGCTACAATGCCATCTGCATCATCGCTCTCTGCACCTGCTGCCTCATATTCGCAGCCTCCGAAAATTGAAGACCGCCGCAAAAATCGGATCTCTTCAAATCTCCCCCCTATTTATACCTCAATGAGTATACACCCCTATGCATGACTAATTCAAGGGTTAAGCATTTGCAAGTTTTTTAAGTTTTTTTTAACCCCCAAACGAATATCTAAACTCGCTGCTCTGGCGCTGGTTTTGTTAGTGAAGAGATCTCAAAAGTCTGCCACACCCATTTTGTGTTCTGTAGTGATTGATCTATTATCACGTGCCATCTCTCACTCATCGAAGACTTCTATTCAGGCGCGGCTCTAGGAATTTCTCGAGAGGGGGGGGGGGGGGCGGACTTTCAAAAAAAAAATGAAAATTGTGTCGATCTTTTCTTTTAGGTTGACCAACTTGATTTTCTGAGCTCTCCCAAATCGCTATATAGACATGAATTTGACCAAATTTTCTTTGTCGCAGTCAAATTGTTTGAAAAAAGCCAAAAACGGCGTTTTTAGGCTTTTTTTGGAAAATTTCAACCAAAAAAGCGCGTTTTTCCGGCGCGCGCTTCCCCCTCAAAATTATTATAGATTGGCGCCTAAGGCGCCTTTAGAAAAATTTTAAGGTCAATCAGCCAAAAATGGATATCTCAAAATAATACAAAGTGGGACCCTTTGGTCGGCAGGGGTGGAATACCTGAGAGAAGGCGTCCGCTCCCATCCCCCCCTATCCCCGCCCCCTAAATCCACTACTGCTTCTATTGCTACTTAACTAATCTGAGTGAAAAAGAGTAACAAATGAAATTCTAAAAAACTAGGAGAAATGAAGCTAAGGAAATGGGCACAATGCTGAAAAGTTTTGAGAGAAACCTTCGTGAGTGATGCAAAAGGGGCGCTATTTCGTATTTAAAATTTAATGATTTAGTAAAAATTGATTCATTTTAGTTTTGATATTAAAAACAATTTGTCAAGTATATCCGTTATCGATGAAAATTGAAATTGCTACTAGTCGTTCCCTTGGCTCAACACGTGTTGGGTTATACCAGCGGGCTTTTAAAGCTGTATTGGGCTGATAAAAGTAATTTCATCTTCATTAGTGTCCCCAAATTGTGTTTGCCAGTTTTTTCCAAAGGGTCTCTCCCACTTCATAAATTTAAGTTGAACTAAATCAACCATAAGTTTGTGTAATTGGCCTAATTGGGTAAGTTTGAACACCTACTGCTAAAAGCATACAAAAATAATCACAGCTCAATAAATGTTTGATTTTGACCTCAAAGCACCTTTTTCATCTGTACAGTATAAAATTTTTCCACCCCAGGCATCTATAATCAGCTTTTTTCTGAAATCGTAACGAAAATTTAAAAAATGTTAGCGGTACTTTCATGCTTGTTGCTGGTATATTGGAGTTTTTTTAAGTTTGTACTGACAACAAAACAAAAGGTTGAGTTTATTAGCGCAATTTCAAAAAGTTGTGTTTGCGGTTCATTAGCAAGTTCATTCAGTAATTTCAAAAAAGGATTTTTTCAGAGCGTTAGAAAATTTAAACGCCAAATTTCAGTCCAAGAGTCAATATAGTTTGATTTTGTCACAAATTTTTTGTCAAAAACAACCCAGAATTACAAAAAAAAAGTAGTCCTACAATTCTCATAAACGCACCAAATTGTATGACTTGCTTTATCCTAAATTGTGAACAACTGTATGACTAGCAATCTCCCACGGTGTGACTCGTACTCTGTTATAAAAATTCAAATCTGCATTTTCTGTGATCTAATTCCATGTATGTTAGCGTAGGTTTGTTGTGTTTGTTTCCAAACACAGTAACACAACACTGGATAATTGATACCGGGGTTGAGCTCGCATTAAAAATTAGCGATTAAAAGTGAAAAAAAAACAGCGATTGCCATCAATGAACTATCGATATTCATTGCCACAGTAGCAAATTTTCTCGATAAATTATCGCTAATTCGGCTATTTTTCAGCAATGAAAGAGCGATAAAAAACCTATCAAAATGAGGAAAAAAAAGTGATCTACCGGTTTACAATCCCGCAACCATCAGCTTTGTTGACATGTATGCTACCTCTGCGCTATCATGCCTGCGATAAGCTCAAGTTAAAGCGCTTATCAACTAAAACTTTCATTTGAAAGCTACAAGAATGAGTTAAAATTTTTGAAGTATTAGCGATGAGTTTCTACGGAACCATTACTGAAATAGCTCTGAAAAATCGCAGAAATAGCTATGCAAAAAAACGCTGAATTATACATGAATCAGCACTGGAAAATAGAGATCACTGGGATACTACAAAAAAAGCGATAATTAACGGTGGGACTTCAACCCGGGTACGCATATGTCAAGTTGCAATTTAAAATCTCGTAGAAAGGCTACAATATGAAGTTATGTCAAAGCAATAAATTGTTCCTAAAAAATTTAATCCTAAATATAACATAATATGTGATGACAACTTTTATGAGAAAACTGCTTGATTTCTTGCAATCACGAGGAAAGAAAATCAGCTGGTTTTTTGGAGAGTTCTTTTTTTCTGAAGAAAAAGTTCTTTTTTGACATTTTTGATTTACTTTCATATACAAAAAAAAAGTAATGTCGCACACGGGTTGCACTTGCATTGCAATTCAGAAATTCATCAAAGATCTTTCTTTTTTTGTATCGATCGATATATCATTAATTTCGCACACGGGTTAAAGTTGCCTTGCAATTCAAAAATGCATCAAAGATGTTTCTTTTCTTTTGCATCCATGTATCATGTCGCTGTACCACCTAAGCGATGTTCATCCAAGTTTCATCTATGAAACATGAATGCAAATTACAGTGATGTTTCATCAATGAATCATGGCTAAAACATGGATGTCAATTCCATGATTCATCCATGAAACATGGATGAAAATAATACTAATGTTTCATCCTTGAATCATGGCTGAAAAATTGATGTGAATATTCTGTTTCATCCCTGAAACTTTGATGAAAATTACCTTGATGTGTCTGTCATCCCTGTTTTCCCAGGTGGACAAAATGCTTATCTTTTAGTTTTCGTCTATGGAAAAAATGCAAACCAATTTCCCCATGCCCACCAATCTTCGATATCTTTGAAATATCTTCAAAAGCTTTTGTTAAATTTATTTCGGCCTTCCTATTGAAGATATTTTTCAGCATTCTTATTGAAGATTAATCAAAGGTTGCCTGAAAAAAAAATCTCCACAGCTTTCGGTTTTATAGCTCAATTATCAAAAAAATTCAAAAAATTAGGATATTCATTATTACAACAAAGTCAAATGAAATTACAAAAGGAAATTGCTAAACAAAGTTATAAGCAATCAACGAAATTGTGAGCATTATTGATAATTATAAGAACAAAACACAAAGAAAAAAATTTCAAAATTTTTTGATGATTATTAGTCTCAAAGTATTTTTAGGCAAACAGATAAGTAATTTATCTCACCACATTATGCGCGTATGAACAAAACAAACAAACTAGTAATCATCAGTTTTTGGTATAAAAAAAGGAAAAAAATTTTAATTTCACGATTAAAAATTTCAAAAAAAATTCCCAAAAATTACTGCGTTTTTAGGGTGTTTTCAGCTGATTTTTAGCTGAAGTTGTTTGCTTCAATTTGTTGAAAAAATACAGATTTTTTTCTTTTTTTTTCAATCAAAGTTGCTTGAGCCTTCTAGCTACCAAAACTTACACATTTCTACATTTTTTAACTAGTTTTCAGCTGATTTATAGCTGTGTGAGGATGCATAAATTTTTTCAAAAAAATTATTTTTTTTTCCAAGTTTTGCGCTGGTTCCAGGTAAATTGCGCTGTTCCCAGAAAACATTAGTTTTTCAAGCCTTCTAACTACCAATGCTAATACAAGTCAACTTTTTTGCGACAAAAAACTGAGTTTTCAGGTTGTTTTCAGCTGTGGGCTGAGTACGATTTTGAAAAAAAAAAACTCAACTGTTTTTTGAAAAATCAAATATTCCCAAGCAATTTTTTTTTCAAGCCCGGTGTCTCCCAAGGCTAATACTGTCAAGCTGAGTTTATAATTTTTTGCAAAAAAAAAACGTACGCTTACATGATTTCTAGTAGACTTTATACTGATATGCCATTTTAATCGTTTTTTGTAGTTTGGAACGACACGTAACAAAACTTTGAAATTAAATCGAAATTTCGTAACAAATGAAAATTAGTTCAAACATGGATGTAACATAGATGTTTCTTTGATGTAACATCAGTGTAACAGCACTGTCTTAGCATAGATGTCACATCGATGTTTCATCAATGTCACATCAATGTTTTCGTAATAAGTAATAGAAAAACAATGAACATAGGAAAAACATAGTTAATCTATGCGTTTGGTCCGGTAGATTCCTGAAACATGTCAAAACAATGCTATAACAATGATAAATTTCTGAATTGCAATTTAACTTCAACCCGGGTATGCATTTGAAAAAAAAAATCTTGTAAGGAATTGATTTTGAGACCAAAAATTGAAGAAAAAAATTGGGACTTGTTAGAATTTTTATTTTGGTACAAGCGCTCTATATTTCTCAAAAATTTCCATTCATACAATCCCAATATATGAATACATTCCCACTATCGTTTGTTCATTTGCCCCATGTATAACATTGCATGACTAGCATGTCTTATGTATGGTGGTCAACCCAAGTACGTCATATTGTACAAATCTGAATTTTGATTAATGTGATTATATAATTGGTTGATGCAATATTTATGTCTTTTTGACTGGAAATAAAGAAAAAAAAATACATATACAACGGTGCCATATGCCATGCAATCACAAAATCATCTCTTGATATGAAACTTAATTTTTTCATTATAGCTCAGAAAAAATCCATTCTATAATTTTTTGAATACGCAACTGAATTAATTGTTAGGTAATTCGGTTGGCTAATCTGATAAAATGCCGAAACTTTGGTTTACTGAATGCATGCATGGAATTGGTTCGCATAAATATTAATTTGCATAAATATTAGTGTGCATAAATATTAGGTGTGCATAAATATTAGTTTTAGCGATAACTTTTCTAAAGCAAATTTCTCATACTAAGAAACAGAGAAACAATTTTGAAAATTTTCTCAATAAAACCCTCTTCGTTAAAAACATCAATTTAATCCTGCTTTGTTTTTCTTTTGAATCGGGCGTTTTTCTTTTGAATCTAGAATTTACCATGGGAGAACTATAGGTACTCCCTAATTTTGCATAACCTGTTAACTCGTGTTGTATAAATGTCATGAGCGGATTTAGGCGGAATTTCAAAAAAAAGAAGTCAAAATTTGCGTCGGCCTTCTTTTCATGTCGACCAAAAATCAGGCCTAAACAACCTTTTCAGGGACTTTTTGGAAAGTTTTGATCAAAACTTGCGTTTTTTCTACTTGCTCCTCTGGATGGACTGGGGTCGATTATCTCGGGGCTTGTGATAGGGGCTCTTGGAAGAGAAATTGGGTACTGGTAGACACAATTAAAACATACTTTTCTAAGACTTATATTTCGATTTATTCAATGTAGGTTATTCATTTCGGCTTTTTTATCTCTTTAAGGTCAAATTTCATGAGCTCTCTTGTTCAAGGCAAAAATCATTTTAACATAATAGCACGTTTTGTTTAAACAAAACAATAAAACAGATCATATTTCGATTATTTTTTGACTTCCTTCCTGTCGTGTGTAGATAGCGCGTCACTGATAGCGCGTTTTTTGTTGTCTTGAGTTCACTGGATAGTCTCTCTTCCACCAGTACTGTTCACTCATTGAGTATTCGGTGTAGTTTTCACCAGTTTCTGACATCTGTAGGCGGGACGTCTACAGTTGATGACCTCTGCTCTATATGCAGCAAAAATTGACCCAGAAGTTGCCGCCACTTCGTCAGAAATAGCTCAGATGTCTTTTCCGGTCCAGAATTCTAAAATTATTTTAAACTTGATTCTTCCTTTAGTCTCAAATTAAACTAAATTCTTCCAATAAAAACATATTTTAAAAGTGTTTGAGCCACAATTTTACTTTTTCAAAAGCTTTTTTTAAATTTGTCTCGAGCAAGAAAGTGGAATAAATCATTAAAGAGAACATTACCGCTTTTTTACCATGGGTTTTGAATTAACCAGCTGAAAACCTAAAAATACGCTGATATTTTGCATTTTGGAGCGAGAAAAACCGTAACAAATAATTAGTAAACTTAATTCAATAACAAAAAAAGCGAGCTGATTTTGTTCCAGTTTCAAAGAAGGTGCGGAATATTTATTTGTTCTTTATTGCGTTGAAGCTTTTCCATCTCTTTTTTCCCATAGTAAAACCCTATTAACCGTAAGTTCGGATTTTAAAAAAAAACTATTTCAAATTAGTTGTCATTTTTTTTTCATTTTTGCAGCTTTGCATCCATTTCAATCTCGCACCCTGCTATAAACTACTGCAAAAATAGAAACAAAATAAAAAAAATTGAAAAAAAAAATCAAAACTCTTTTTCAATGTTTTTGAATATCTTCTTTATGTTGGATTTTATATTTCCAAGATGAATTATTTGAAAAACGTTATGCTACTCGCACAACAATCTAATCGTTTTTTCTCTGACCATTGAAAATGCGGAGGGAGTTTGTATTCGGGTGTGTTTTAGTTATTTTTGTTTTCCTCTCAAAGCCAGGTTCCACAAATAATTATTGGAATGGGCTGAGTGATATATCATATTTAAAGTATTTGAGTCGTGATTCAAACAAAAAAATTTTCAAAAAATTGTCTCGGTGTAGAGAAAAATGAGTTTGAACGTTGTCGTATTTTGTCTAGTTTTGTCTGGTTATGATCAAAATCTTGATTTTACTATGAAGAAAATTTTTTTTGATGATTCTTGGCTAAAATTTTTTTGAATTTTTTTGAATTTTCTTTTTCATTTTTTTTGTTTTTCATTTAATTTTTACAGACAAATGATGCCGATTATGCTTAGTTCATCAACTTTCTACGCAATCGTGACATATTTGATTCTCATCACACACTGAAAATGAATATAATTTGAAAAAAAAGTATTTAAAAAATTCAATTTTATAAAATTGTTTCGGAACATTCTGTGCTACTATCACAGCAACCGGCTATCCTTTCTTTCAAATATATGAAATATATGAAATTGCGGATTAAAGAAACCAGAAGTGATTGGAAGCATTCGAAAAGATTGTTGAAGTGGTTATGAAGATATCAGGTTACTTAAGAAACGTTTTTTCTCATGAACGATCTGCTACTTTAGTTAGCAAAGAAAGCAAGTGCACAGGGGCGGATCTAGGATTTTCTCGAGGGGGGGGGGGGGCGGATTTTCAAAAAATTTTCGAAAATTTCGACGACCTTTTTTTTAGGTCGATCAGATTGATTTTCCGAGCTCTCCCAAAGCAGTAAAAAGACCCTGTTTTGGCCAAATTTTCTGCGCCGCAAGTAATTTTTTGAAAAAACAGGCCAAAAAAGCCGTTTTTGGGCACTTTTTGGAAAATGTTGACAAAAAAATCGCGTTTTTTTTTTGGCGCGCACTCCCCCTCAAAATAAGTATATATTGGCGCCAAAGGCGCCTTTAGAAAAATTTTAGGGTCGGTCGGCCAAAAATGGATTTCTTAAAAAGTACCAAAGGGGGGACCCTTTGGGTTGGCAGGGGGTCGAATCCATGAGGGGAAGGCGTCCGCCCCCCATCCCGCCCCCCATCCCCCCCCCCCTAAATCCGCCCCTGCAAGTGCATGTTCCAATATTGATTATTGTTCCGACCATTGAAAATGAAAAACAATTTGTATTCGGGTGTTTTAGTGTTTTTTTTTGTTTTTCACGCAAAATCATGTGCCACAAATAATCATTGGACTGGGTTGAGTGATATAACATTTTAAGGCCCTTTTAGCGTGGAAATAGAAAAGTTAAGTCAAAATTTTTATCACTAAAGCTCAAGAGTCTCATTTTTATCAACTGTGCCAATAGCGCTTAATTTGCTTAGGAAAGCTGATTAATACTACTAAATGCACTTCTTAATTTGCTTAGGAAAGCTGATTAATACTACTAAATGCAATTCCTAAAATTGGTGCGCTTACAGCAAGTTTGTATATGGAACCGAACGATAAACATTTTTCTATTTTGGATTGCAAATTATATAAGCTTATCAAGTCACCTGGAAGCACGCTGTTCAAAATTGGGTATTACCACTAAGTTATAATTAGGTGAATGCAATGTGATGACCTTGAAATGGGATCCCCAACTCGGCCACACTCTTTTAAAAATGTTCACGTGTGTTCACATGAGCAAGGCTCACGTTTCGTGTTTGAACTAAATGCACGTGAAAAACACAAGAGCATGTGAGCTCAAGGAAACACGAAAAATTTTGCAGTTACGAGACATTTGCTCTCTTGTTTTTCATGTATTTCTAGCTTGTTATAAAAAAAATCTTGATCCTTTTAAAGAAAAAGCACATAAAAATAATATTTTAACAAGTTGTTATTTTTGGGTTTTGATCCACGGCGGGTGGATAATGACCTAAGATAACATCTCGATACTTTAAAGATGAAATGGGTCATTCCTCGACTCAAGTAGTGTACTTACGTACCAGATAATTGATTGGAAAAATTCATTTATCTGGAAAAAACTGACTTTGGATCTACTGAAAAATTACCCTCCCTTTGGTACCTACTTAAGAATTGCCACCCCTATTATTAAAAGCAGTAAATTAGCGCTAGAGCTTTGTATTGAGACTTTCAATTTTGCTGCAATATGATTGGTCGAAAGGGCGTTATATTAACCTACCTAACAATTGCCCCCTTTCGTAAAAGGGGGGTAATTGTTAAGTAGATGCGTAACTTTTGTCGGAGATTCCCATGCAGTTCTTTTGACCAGTTTTTGGAACAATACGAAAAACTAAAACCACAGGTGGGGAAAAATAACCAACTGACAATCGCGATGACAGAAATTAAAAGACGCGGGGCAGGATATCTAAGGTTTTCTCAGGTGATCTTTTGTTTAGAGATAGCACGCTTTACGGTTTGGTTTTGCTTGAGTTATTGTTGGATATATCATATGTTATGTTTTCTAGCACGTGTGAACTAGTGTTTTTATAGACTGTTTGAAATCAGAAGCTGAATACGATTTGGATTTGGACACTGGTCTCAACAACGAGCTGGATCTGGACCTTCATCTCGACAGTTTTGTATGGTTTTTTTTTGTGACGCTACCCCCCTGGTAATGTGCCATTAGGATTAAGACTTCAGCTGTCTCGAATTTCAGGAGATTCTGTGGAAAACGCAGTTAAAAAGGTTTTAACCTCTAAAGTTTTCTCAGGTGATCTTTTGTTTAGAGATAGCACGCTGTACGGGTTGATTTTGTGTCAATAGAGCCTCAAAGTTGCAAATAATACAAATGCATTGATGAAAAAAAAGGCTAGTTCTACAATTCCGTTGATAAAAAAATGCTAGTCATACAAATCCGTTGATGAAAAAAAGCTATTCTTACAATTCCATTGATGGAGAAAATGCTTATCGAACAATTCCATTGATGAAAAAAATGCTTATCGTACAGTTTCATCGATGGAAAAAATGGTTGTAGTACAATTTCGTTAATGGAAAAAATGCTTGTCGTGCTATTATTGTACACTTTTTTTATTCTACGGAATTCTACGAAATTGTACGATAAGCATTTTTTGTCAACCCCGTCATCCCTCAAAAATGCATGCGAAAATTACTGTACCCCAGAAATCTAGTTGGACGTTTTTTAGTGCTTCCTTAAATTCAAACTCCTCCCCTACAACTCCTTTAGAAGTGTCGGATGTTCAGGCCTTGACAAAAATTTACTAAATTGGGAAATTTACTTTCCTTACCACGACATGCTGTAAACAATTCCGGTTACGATACCGAGGTTGTGTGGTTTGTTGTGGGGGAAAATGGCCACTGTATAGAAAACTACTATTGTTTGTGAGAAGTTTTTTTAAAGATTATCAAAAAATTTTATTATTGAGCACTTTGAGACTTAAAATTGGATGTGTTTAAACTTGGCGTGTATAAAATTTAGATAATCAAACAAATCATTGATGTTTTTAATATTGAGATGGTACTATAAATAAACGACATTGATTGAAAATTGAAGAAGATTTGTTGTTCAATATTTAGTTTTGAGATTTTAACAATCATAATTGAGTTTGATGAGTAAAATTCGAAATTATAGCTTGCCCTGTCGAATTGTTTCTAAATTGAAATTTTTGTACTGGAATAATTTTATCTGTGGGTTTCTCTGGGTCTTTATATTTAAAGTAATTCAAACTTAACTGAGGCACTGATCACACACACCAAAGAAAACTCAATTGTATTTGATTTAAATAGACTTAAATTTCGATCGATTTTTGACTTGCAGTTTTCAGGTGTTTTTTACTTGATTATACAAGTGAAAACACGCAAGCAATCAAAAAAAGTTATACAAAAAAAATTCAAGTAAAAACACAAAATTTAACACTCTCGTTGTTACAATCGAAAGAAAACGTATAAAAACACAGAATTTTAGTAAGGGGCGGATCTGCAATTTTCTCGGAGAGGACAGATTTTCTAAAAAAAGAAAACAAATTGTCGAACATTTTTACGGGTTGACAAATCGAGTTTCCGAGCACACTCAAAGCAGTAAAAGACCCTTTTTTGCCCAATTGTTTTTGTGCCACAGTCAAATATATATAAAAAACATGCCTAAAGAAGTTTTCTTTAGGCTTTCTTTGGAAAGTGTTGACCGAAAAAAAAATTAAAATTTTTAATGGAAAATTCAAGTAGCTCTTGTGGTTTCTTTTCACGAGATTTTTTCATTAAAACACGCAATTTTTCAGGTGAAAACGCGTGAAAATTTTAAAGAGTGCATGATTGGGCACATACTATTATGAAAAAATTGAGTCAGTTTGAATCTGGGGCGGATTTAGGGGGTGGGGGGGTTTGGGCGATGGCTTCGGATACCTCCTTCTTCAGGAATTCCACCCCCTGCCGACCCAAAGTGTCCCCTTTGTACCATTTTGAGATATTCATAATCGGCGATGGACACTAAAATTTTGTAAAGGCGCCTTAGGCGACAATATATAATAATTTTAAAAAAAGCGCAATTTTTCGGTAAAAATTTTCCAAAAAGTGCCTTAAAATGCCTTTTTTGGGCCTGTTTTTTTAAAATTTTTCCTGCGCCACAGAAAATTTGACCAAAACAGGATCTTTAAATGCTTTGGGAGAGCTCGGAAATCAAGTGGGTCAGCCTAAAAAAAGGTCGACAAAATTTTTGATAATTTTTTTTGAAAATCTGCCCACCCCTCGAGAAAAACCTAGATCCGCCCCCGGTTTGATTAAATCTACCATAATCCCACACCAACCCTTCCCGGTAAGGTTTTGCTTAGTATAGAACTATTTAGTAGTTTTGTTTAGTAACTATATGTATGAGCACAAAAGATTTGGAATCAATAGGAACCAAAAATTCTGAAACACAGAAATGGTTATCAGCCAAACATAGACCTGTAATCACCAGCGGATTTGGGGGGGGGGGGGGGGGGGGGGGGTTCCTGGGTTTCGGACGCCGCTCTCCCCCTCAGGAATTCGACCACCTGGCACTATTCAGAGATATCCGTTTTTAGTGACGGACTCGGCACCAATATATACTAATTTTGAGGGGGGAGTGCGCGACGAAAAAACGCAAATTTTTTGGTCAAAATTTTCCAAAAAAATGACTAAAAACGCTTTTTTGGCCTGTTTTTTCATAATTTTGCCTGCGGCGCAGAAAATGTGGTCAAAATGGGGTCTTTTTGGTGATTTAGAAGAGCTAAGAAAATCAATTTGGTCGACCTAAAAAAAGGTTGACAAAATTTTCGAATTTTTTTGAAAATCCGCACCACCCCCCTCGAGAAAATCCCAGATCCGCCCCTGCCTGTGATGGCTCAAACCGAAAATTGATTGCCTCGTAAATACTCAAAAACTACAAAAAGTTTTCGCAATGGCATACTTGAAAAACTATACGTTTCTGAGTTGTTTCAAGCGAAACAAAAATACGTAACGGACCCCCACCGCAACACCCCTCCCCCAACCACTCAATAATTGACATCCTGATTTACCTGCAGTTCGAAATTCAACTTCATTGGTGGCACAATCCGAAAACCACTTGTCAATTGTGGCTCAATTTCACTGCTCTCCTCCATCACTCTGGAACTCCCACTTGTGATCACGTGACCAAAGGGGTTCAATGACCTCTTTCCTGTTGGGCGCCAGCTGACTGAGCCAGACATGGAGTTGGCATTCACGACTGCGCATATTATGAGCGCAAACAAGAGAAACTTCTCAAAAAGCAGTTTTCGACTGTTTTTTGTCATTTTTTAATTGTTGAAAAATCCGATGACTAGCGTGCTCAAGTTATAAAGTGTAATAGTTTTTTTTCCTATCCCTCACTGAGGAAAAGCCAAGTTGCTTTAGTGAAGGAAAATTTTTAATCAAAAAAACTTGATGAGCTTTCGCTTCAAGCCTGTGCTTTGACAAGTTATAATCAAAGAAACTTCTAGTATTTACCGCCTAAAATGCAACTAAATAAAATTTCAAAAGCAATTGATTTACCTCAAAGTTTCGCCAAGTATGGAATTTTCACTTGACATTTTGCATGCCCATATTTGAAAAATTAAAAAGCAAGCAAAGCGAATCTGTCAATTGAAATATCCAAATTCTCCTTAATGCAACGCGAGATGAAATGAAATTTTTCTTGGAATACTTGAAAAAGTTAAGAGCGCCGTAGGTTGGTAAAAAATAGTTGCATAGGTTCCCCACACTTGCTTTCCATTTAAAAACTGATAAGCTTCCGGTAAAGTTTAATTTATAAATAGATGCTGTAATATTTAAACTGCTTCAAACCGCCATTTCTGAGGCAAAAAAAAACAGACATGTTGTGCAATTTAAACTGACTTTTGACCAGCGGCTTCTGATGAGTATAAAATTTGAGATGTAAGAGAAGCGGGAGCTTGCCTTGGCTGTTTTGCAAATTTAAGAAATTTCGAATTAGTTCAGAGCAATTGGACTGAGCAATAAAAAAAATTGATAATTAAGCTGCAATAATTTTTTAAACTTTATGTAGCAATTTTTAAATCTACTTAACAATCTCTACCCCTTTCAAGAAGGGGGTGAGGAGATTGTTCAGTAGATCAAAATGGTTGATTTTCTGACCAATCAGAATGCAGAAAAATTAGAACTCTCAATAGAAAGCTCAGTGCTAATTTACTGTATGTATTTATAGGGGTGGAGAGTTTTAAGTAGGTACCATAGGGGGGGGGGGGGGATTGTTAAGTAGATCCCAATTTTCTGGCATCAACATTTCGAAAAGTTTAAAATTGACAAAGTATTAATTTTTTCATAAACAAAATTATCTTAACCACACGTTTCGACAGTTTAATTTTTTTGTAACCTAGTTTTTTTAGCACAACATAAGTAAGCACTTCAGTGTCTTTTTTTTACTTATTCCGCCCAAATTTAATAATTTGCGACTTTGTAATTTTTAATTTATAAAAGCTGAGACAAAATACTCATAGTACTGATTTATTTGCTTAATATGCGATCACTTTCTTTTTATGCCGACTTCTAACAAGGCCGAGTTTTCAGCAGATACAAAAGTGGTCTTTTTCTAACCTGGTTAAAACTCTGGAGCATACTTGAAATAATTTTTTGAGTAAAATACCAAATGTTTTAGGCCAAATCGGCTCAATTATTTTTGACTTAAAATTGTGAACAAAACATTTGAGTTGGTAATTATGAAAATTGATTGGCTAGTTCTAGCCAATCAGATTGAAGCAAGATAATTTCAGTTCAAGATGTTGAAAGATTGATTTTTGGGCGGAATAAGTAAAAAGATCCCAAAACAATTGGCCTGACAAACAATCGGATTGACGAAATCAACTGCTTTCATGGAAGCTTTTCGGAAATCAACTGCTTTCATGGAACCTTTTGGAACCTTTTCGGGTTCTCATGCTGGAGGGACCGAATACTGGAAAATTTTCAACCAATCAAAATCGCTAAGCGTTCCTATTGGCCAAATGCCTTTCTCACAAAATCGAACTCAATATTTCCAGAAAATGATAATATAATAAGTATAATGGATGCAGATATAATAGGTGCAGATCTTAAAACTTAGTTTTTTGCTTTTCCATTTTTCGTAAATCGGTATTCATAAAATATTAAATTTGTTGCAATCCGCCTTCAATCCGGTCTTAATTTCATTCATCGGCTTAATATCTAATTGAGCAAAATTAACACTATTGGCCCGGATTTATTTGCTTGGGGTTTAGGAAACTAGACGACCAGAAAATAACGGAATTTAGACAATAAATTGCGTGATATTGCGTGAAATTTTTTTACAGAGTTAAATTGTTTTTTGGCTGAGTAAATACTGGTTATCCAATTTAGACAATAAATTGCGAGCAAATTGCGTGAAATTTGTTTTCTGGCCCAAACTAAATGTTGGCTGAGTAAATACTGGTTGTCCGTAAATTCCGTTACTTTACGGTCGTCTAACTTCTTGCCGTCTAAGTTATTAGGCCCCATTTGCTTACGTTGAGAATTTCGCGATTTCCCTGAGATTTCTGAATAGTCAATTGTGATTGGTTGAAAATAAGCCAAAATAAACTTCACGCATTCGGTACCTCCAGCATGAGGAACGCCACCAACCTTTTCTGATACTGAGTGAAAAGCTTTCTCAGTTTATGAGAAGATAGGAGCTAGGTTGGAACTTTAACTAGCCATCTGTGTAAATGTTCCTTGCTAGTTCAGAAAAACAACCACCAAGCTCCACTTGCCCCAACTAGAAGCAGATTTAAGAGAGGAGGCTAACTAAGAATAACAGGAATGTGACACGCCTTTTGCACGTTAAAGTACCATTCGCACCAAGATTAATATGTACCGTACCAAAATGAAAAATCGCTCCCATTTGTACTAAAGTTGTTCAACTCGATTTCTGATTGGTCGAGTTGAATTCAATTTTTTACCGTTCAAACATCATAAAGTTAACCAGCAGAATAGTGACCGTTGCAGTCGAGCCAACGTGTTGTGAGATTGGCAACAGAGGGTTGGACTCTATACGAAGACAAAGTAGAGCCGGTCATCGCCGCAAAGCGGCAAGACGCGCGTAGCGCGCCCACCAGCGACCTTAACCAATAGCTTAAAATAGTCGGCTCAGTAGTCTTTGGCCAATTGATTTTTTTGGTAAGACGCGATTGAGTTTTTGTTTTGGTACAAATGGGACTGATTTTTTATTTTAGTACTTGTGAATAACCATCGTTTTGCCCCTCTCACATTTCGCCCCACGTTTTCATGAGGGTGCTTTATGTCTACGATTTTAGGTGCAAAATTAGAGTAACATGCGCCACTAAATTTAACCGGAGCGAAAATTGCGAGGAACGAAATGTGTGTAGACCGGACAACAGAGTGATCACCTTTTGTTTTCTAAAACCTCTTGCCTTGCTGTTGCCTTTTCTGATTTTCAGATTGTTGGCATTGAACCATTTGCATGTAGCAGTCAAAGTAAAGGGCAAAATGGCCATGTTTTGTCAACAACTAAATCAACTTCGATCAGGTTTTTTTCTTTAAATGTCTATTTGTCATGTTATCAGTTCAAAAGTAAGAAACATAATTTCAATTGTGAAATAGTTATAAAATTTCAGAAGCAAAAAAAATGTTCGATCACTTTTTTAAAATTTTACAAATCTTTTCTCAGTTTGTTTCAAGAAATTTTGGATGTAAATTTGGAATTTACTCATTATTATACCCAATAAAAATTTTGCTCTTTAAGCTATTCAGGCGTTTTTTCATAACGGTTTATGTTTTGCTAAGGCTTGTTTGTCGAGACATATCATTTTGATAAATTAAAATAAATTCAGGTCAAGCTGTTTGTTACATACCAATAATGCTTTGCTTTGTTTATTGTTCCGACTTTCGAAGAAAGTGAGATATATTCAGTCATTTTTGGACTTGTTAACTGAGCGTTTTTGACGGAATTTCGTATACCATCTGAGAGATAATGTTATCCAAAATTCCAAAGCTCAAACTTTAAAAATGATATTTCACCTATGATCTTTTTTCGTAAAGTTACGGGCGTTTGAAAATCGCTAAATTGGCCAATTTGGGATAGCCAAAGTGTGGTATTTTGAGTACTTATGACACTCGTAAGAAGCGAACAAGAATGGTCGTATATCAGAGCAAAGCCCTGATTGTTCCGACTGTCCCTTAATTCATATCGAATAGTTTTTGGGAAAAGAAAATGATGAAAACTTTCAAATTTTGGACAATATCAATGGGTGTCAATTTTTGAGTCCTACAAAATTAAAACGACCAGAACATGGCCAATTTGGCAATTTTCAAACCTCCAAAATTTTACACAAAATAAACGAAGCTAAAAAGTATTTTTAAATTTGAATTCAGGAAGTCGATGTCTTCAATGTGATATAAAATGTTTTTGTTGAAAATGATTTTTTTCAATCGGCGTAAATTGAGAGAATAAAAAAACACACCGAGCATAAATATTCCATTTTCTTCGAAAATTGGAACAATTAATGAGTTCCACATTGAAACACACGACTGCTCGCATCAGATTGAAGCCCTGAATGTTTCGACCGCCTTTAAAGGTCTATGGAGCAGTAATAACATGAAAAATTTAACGTAACAAAATAAAATTGCAATTTAAAAAAAATTGGGATTTTTCGTGAAAACATCCTACTACACGTTATAATAAGTACAGAATGATAGATTTTGCTCCACTCCTATTAACAAATCATTTATGGCATATAAGCTTCCTTGAACCATTTTGGAACCTTTTCTACGACCGAATAAATCTCGCTTACGCGTTAATAGCGCCAAATAAATCGCGATTTCGGTACGATGTCTAAGACGGATTAAATCTCGCCTACGCGTTAATAGCGGGAAATATATCGCGCCTTAATTGTCCCAAATTGGCCAATCTTTAGACCCGTAACTTTACAAAAATTGATGACGGTGAAATATACTTTCAAATTTAAGCTCAGGACAACAATAGCTTTCGAATGATAAAGAAAAATTCCGTCAAAAATGGCTAGTTAAAAAGTCGAAATTTGTCTGAAGAAAAAAAACCACCCCGAGCACAAATAACTTGTTACTTTCCTTAGGAAAATTGGAATAATGAGCGTTCAAAACGTGCAGAAACAGTTTGCGCTGGACCTGTGTTTGAATTCTTAAAAAACACAAACGTATAAAATTTTAATTACAGAAATGTGCTCTTTTTAGCTATAAGGTTTGGCATTATTATTAGCCAAGTGAATGATCGTTTATTTGTTACTCGTTGTCAGAAGACAACTGCTGCCGTACTCAAAAAAGAGCTGCTTTTTGGTCGTGTTCTCGCAAGTGCTTCCGAAGCGCAGCTTCGCCCCTTTGTCAACGAATGAAACTTTTTTTTTTAAATTTGGAACGTTGTTTTAGAATGGAGCAATTTTTACATAAAAAATTGGAAAGTTTTTTTCAATAGGGTCTGTTCTTTTTTGACATAAATGATATGGTTTGATGTGAAAAAGTACAACTCACACGAGATTTAAATGATAACACTATAATTTACCGAGGAATCAGACTACCTTGCAAAAACGACATAAGTTACTGCAATCCTACTACTAGGACACAGGCTACCATTGTCTGGTTTCCCGAAGACACTTGTACGACATTTCAAGTAGCAAAAATACACGCTAGAATGATAAAATTTCACCAAAATTTTTTATCGAGTCAATACCGTTTGAAGACTTAAACCCTGCACAAATAAGACTAACGAATCACAAGTTTAAAAACATCCATATTATAGAAAATAAATTAACACGTTTTCAAATTTATCAAGAAACAGAATTTGCATGTAAGTATGAAAACCCACTATATAAAACACAATATTCCGATATACTTGTCGAATAGGAAAAATGTTTCGACATGAACACTGTTAAAATTATAAAAAATCCCCACGCAACACATCATCTTCTAAATGAAGGAACCTCATACATCCCCGTGAACCTTCTCAGAAAGGCAGGAAATCCTCCTGGAAAAATAAAACCACAGGACACAGAAAGTACACGACTACAGGAACTATCACTTATGAACAACACATATTTCGGCGCAATTCATTATGACATCCACTTAGACATGAAATTAGACTACACAATTAGTAGAATTTTTCAAGAAATGTCACTTTCAGAATCAGAAACACTACATCAACTATGTGAACTAGAAAGAACACATATTTTACAATCGCTAGCACTAGCAGTTCTAAAAATACCCAACGCAGGATATTTATTATCCGGAAGTAGATCAAATTTCCTTGATTATGAAGGAAACACTTTATAGTTTTATACTTGCACCAAAAAAGTATCACCTTTATATGTTTTTGAAGATCAGCGAAGTTATAAAAAAAATTCCAATTTTCCATAAAAATAAAGTACATTTTGTTGATACACTTTCAAGAAGAATATATTTTTGGGATACAGCAGTCCCATATGGATCAGAAAACAGCCACAACGTCGTACAATTAAATCCCGACGAAGAAAATTACTACGTACTTACACCGTACCCTACATTAATGCGACAATTAAAAGTATTCACCAGAAAGTATTCGAGCTATTGCTCGCAATCCAAATATCGATCTACAATCGATACGAATTTACTCTAAATCAGATTTACAACATCAAATACGTACGCAACAATTTCAAGAGCTACCAACACAAATGGACACTATACAAAGACAATCAATCGATCAAAACCGACTTGATCAGGAATCTTGCTACCAAAGTAATTTAGAAAGACTTTTACATCTAAAACCCGATGATTGTAAAAACGAATTACTCAAATTAAACTTAACGAGAAATAAAAACTCAAAGAGAAAAATAGTAAACTTTCAAGTTTTTACCGACTCTGTACATCAAGCAGAAGTTGAAAGATATCAAGGACATATTAATTTAGACGAAAAATACCCATACAATGGCGCACACGGACGACTAACTAATGATATTTACGATCAACACTGGATACCACATATTGGAATAAATAACCCCTTAAATTGCAAAATAGAAACAAAAAACAAAGTAAGCCAAGAAACCAGGATGTCACTTTTTGAAGATAAGCGATGTTATAAAAAAAATCCAATTTTCTATAAAATTTAAGTAAATTTTGTTGATACGCTTTCAAGAAGAACAATATTTGGGATACAGCAGTCCCATGTGGATCAGAAAAGGGCCACGACGTCGTACAATTAAATCCCGACGAAGAAATTTACTACCTACCTACACCGTACCCTACATTAATGCGGCCATTAAAAATGTTTTCACCAGAAAGTATTCGAGCTATTGCAGCGATTATAAATTCTGTGTTCTTACTAGTTCACATAGTTGATGTAGTGTTTCTAGTTCTGAAAAGAAATTTTCTTGGAAAGTGTCATCCTGGTTTCTTGGTTTACTTTGTTTTTTGTTTCTGCTTTGCAATTTAAGGGGTGATTTTTTCCAATATGTGGTATCCAGTGTTGATCGTAAATATCATTAGTTAGTCATCCGTGTGCGCCATTGTATGGGTATCTTTCGTCTAAATTAATATGTCCTCCAAATTTTACTATTTTTCTCTTTGAGTTTTTATTTCTCGCTAAGTTTAATCTCAGTAATTCGTTTTTACAATCGTCGGGTTTTAGATGTAAAAGTCTTTCTATATTACTTTGGTAGCAAGATTCCTAATCAAGTCGGTTTTGATCGATTGATTGTCTTTGTATAGTGTCCATTTGTGTTAGTAGCTCTTGAAATTGTTGCGTACGAATCTGATATTTTAAATCTGATTTAGAGTAAATTCCTATCGATTGTAGATCGATATTTGGATTGCGAGCAATAGCT